TATATATATACATTTTGTGTAGAAATAGGATTAGTTGACTTTATAAGGTAAACTTTGTGACGTAATTGTAAATATTCAGATGTAAATATGGTTTTGCATATAGACAGCTCGAGTTAGGATATATATAGAGACAATTGGATGTTGTCAGTTAGTTAGAAAGTTCCGTTCTTAAATAAAGAAGTGTTCACCATCGTAGCCCGATTCCTTGAAGAAACTAAACATGGTGGCAGCGTAAAAGCGGTAAAAGCGTAAAAGCAATTTTCAAAATTATAAAGTTGAAATATAAGAAATTTTTTTTTAAGAAAAGAAAAAAAAAAGGCTAATTATATGCAGATAGCTGCTCCAGAAGGATTTAATTTTTGTAAACCTAATGAATGGCCGATATGGTTCAAAAGATTTCAAAGATATAGAATCGCTTCAGGACTTTCAGAGAAAAGTGAAAATGAGCAAGTAAATGCTCTGATTTACATAATGGGCGATAAAGCAGAAGAAATCTTGATCTTATTTAACTTAAGTGAAGCGCAAATTGATGACTATAAACTAGTGGTGTCCAAATTTCAGGACTATTTCATAGGAAAAAGAAACGTTATTTATGAAAGAGCAAAATTCAATAGAAGAAGTCAAGGGGAGACGGAACCTGTAGAGGAATTCATAACCAATCTCTACGTGCTGGCAGAAACCTGCAGCTATGGTATCTTAAAAGAAGAGATGATCAGGGATCGGTTAGTAGTTGGAGTGAAAAACTTGAATCTTTCTGAGAAATTACAGTTGGAATCGGAACTAACCTTGGAGAAGGCAATCCAGATAGTGCGCCAATCAGAAAGTGTAAAAAATCAACAAAAGGAAATAAGGCAAGACACTGAAAATCGGAACGTGGATGTGATAAACAGGAAAGGAGGGAGAGATGGCACAATTTTTCAGAAAACAAGAATGAAAGGTACAAAAACGTACAATTCTAATTTTCCAAAGAATCCTCAAGGATGGTCTTCTAATGAGAAACGTAAATGTTTCCGATGTGGATATTACCAAGGACATTCGAAAGAACAATGTCCTGCTAAGGATGCTATTTGCAACAAGTGCAGAAAGAAAGGTCATTTTGCCAAGGTTTGTCACACTAAAACCGTACAAGAAGTATCAAGCTCCCAAAATTATGCATTCATTGGAATAGTGGGAATGCAGGAGAATGCGGAAGATAAGTGGTGTGAAGTGATAAAGGTGTGAATGACCAGCCCATAAAATTCAAAATCGATACAGGAGCAGAGGTTTCGGTTATGCCAGAAGGGATATACTTGCAACATTTTGGATACCTTAAGACGGAGAAGGCCGATAAGAATCTTTTTGCTGTTTCCAAGAAGATAGAGGTAAATGGAATGTTCCAGGCTTTTTTGGAATCAAAAAGGCAGAAGTGCGAAGAGACCATCTACATCGTTAAAGGGGTTGCCCGACCTTTACTAAGCTGTAGGGCTAGCGAGATCCTAGGTCTCGTTAGGAGGATAAATATTGTCGAAAATCATACTCCTACCAAGCTAGACCCAATGCTCAAATTTCCTAAGTTATTTAATGGACTGGGAAAATTAGACATTCCATACGAAATAAAGTTGAAAGAAGGGGCAAAACCTTATTCGATATATACACCAAGAAGAGTACCTATACCTCTAATGAAAGAACTTCAAATAGAACTGGAGAGAATGACATCAAATGGCGTAATTGAAAAAGTTGAGGGTTCTTCGGAATGGTGTTCGCCCATGGTTCTCGTTGCAAAACCTTCGGGAAAATTAAGAATATGTGTCGATCTCTCGATACTCAATAAAAATATTCTAAGGGAAATACACCCAATCCCGGTGGTAGAACATACGCTAGCCCAGTTGAAAGGAGCTAAAGTATTCACAAAGTTGGATGCAAATAGTGGATTCTGGCAAATACCACTGTCTTCAGAGTCGTCAGCACTTACTACATTTATCACTCCATTTGGGAGATTTCGGTTTAAGAGGTTACCTTTCGGTATCTCTTCCGCTCCGGAAATTTTTCAGAAAAGAATGGGTCAAATATTGGAAGGACTGGAAGGAACTCTGTGCCATGTGGATGACATAATAGTTTATGGTTCATGCCAAGAAGAACATGATAAAAGACTCGAAACAGTATTAACAAGAGTTTCTAAATCGGGACTTACCTTGAACAAGGATAAATGCAAATTTGCAGTTACAACTATTAAGTTTTTAGGTCATCAAATTGGTCCTAACGGGATTCAAGTAGACCCAAAAAAAAAAACGAGCTATACTGGAGTTTCCCAAACCGAGATCTGTCAAGGAACTAAAACAATTCTTAGGAATGGTAAATTTTTCAGCTAGATTTGTCCCCAACTTAGCGGAGATAGCGCATCCAATGAACAAGTTACTGTCAAAGAAAGAAGAATGGATTTGGGGAGATGATCAAGATCGGGCATTTGACCAAATAAAAGAAAATCTCACTTCTGCGCAAGGGCTAGCCTTGTATGATCCTTCTTTGCCTATCACAGTATCAGCCGATGCTTCATCTTTTGGGCTAGGCGCAGTAATATGGCAAACCAAAGATGGACTGAGACAAGTCATCGCTTATGCTTCTAGAACGCTCTCTGAAACAGAAAAGCGTTATGCTCAAATCGAAAAAGAGGCGCTGGCTATCACCTGGGCTTGTGAGAAATTCAAGCAATACATCCAAGGCCTGGTGATCACTCTTGAAACCGACCACAAACCACTAGTACCGATCTTTACTTCCAAAAACATCGATGATCTCACACCTAGGATTCAGAGATTGAGACTACGGATTATGAGATATTCGTATAAGATCGTACATGCGCCAGGAAAGAACTTGATAGTGGCGGATGCGCTATCTAGATCACCTAGGATGAAAGTCGGGACTCAGGAATTGGAGGAGGAGTTATGTGCCTACGTTCAACAGGTTGTCTCATTTATGCCCATATCTGATGTCCGAGTAAAGGAAATAAAAGAAAGTCAAGACAAAGACCAGGTTACACAAAACATTATTAAATACACCCAGGAAGGATGGCCGGAGAGAACAAATGTCTCCATGTCCGAAAGTCAATATTGGCCAGCAAAGGATGATTTCTCCGTTGAGAATGGTATTCTCCTGAAAGGGTCAAGATACGTTATCCCAGAGAATATCAGAAAAGGGTTGCTCCAAAGAATCCATGAAGGACACCGTGAAAGGGCCAAAGGATCCGTCTGGTGGCCCCGGATCACAAGCGAAATTGAGGAGATGGTCCGAACATGTCCTATGTGTATTGAGGAAAGAACAAATCGACATCAGCCACTATTACCCTCAGAGCTTCCAAATTGCCCTTGGGAGAAAGTTGGAGTTGACCTCTTTACACTAAAGGGCCAAAACTACTTGTTAATAGCAGACTATTATTCAAGATACCCAGAAATTGCAAGATTAGAGGACATGACATCAGCTTCCGTAATAGTCCACTGTAAGTCCATCTTTGCAAGGCACGGTATTCCTTTGGAGGTTCGGAGTGACAATGGCCCCCAGTTCGGATCACTATTCAAGGAATTTGCCCACGAATACGGATTTACTCAAGTCACCTCCAGTCCAAGATACCCGCAGAGTAACGGCTTCATAGAATCTTTCGTAAAAATTGTTAAAGAAAGAATTAGCAAGTCAAAGGGTCCATATCTGGCTTTGCTGGCATATCGAGCTACACCACTTGCAAATGGCTTCAGCCCAGCAGAACTTAGCATGGGACGGCGGGTTCGCACCACTATTCCAACACCAACGAAACAACACCAACCACCCAATTTAAAGAATTTGAAAAATCAAGAAGCTATTCAAAGGGAAAAACAAAAATACTACTTTGATCGAGCAAAAGGAGTACGAGAACTGCCTCCATTGGATGTAAATGATCGAGTTTGGCTGACGGACCTTAAAACTCCCGGAGTCATCATTTCCAAAGCAGACACTCCTAGATCTTATATGGTTGATACACAGAGAGGAAGTGTTAGAAGAAATCGCTTCCATCTGCTTCCTACTGGTCAGAGGTCTCCAGGGCCTCCACACTTCGAGCCAGACGAAGAGCCATATGTAAATTACCCAGAAGCCAACACACACACTTCAGATGCTCCTACGGATGTGACCGATTCATCAACATCTCCTAAAGAGGCACTTTAAAGGACTCGCTCTGGAAGAACAGTTCGTCCGCCCAGACGTTTTGGAGATGACTAGAACTAATCTCTAAGAGGGGAGATGTGACGTAATTGTAAATATTCAGATGTAAATATGGTTTTGCATATAGACAGCTCGAGTTAGGATATATATAGAGACAATTGGATGTTGTCAGTTAGTTAGAAAGTTCCGTTCTTAAATAAAGAAGTGTTCACCATCGTAGCCCGATTCCTTGAAGAAACCAAACAAACTTATTCATACAGTTTATATCCCTCGATAGCTCAGTTGGCAGAGCGGAGGACTGTAGATGTTACAACGGTGATCGTTAGGTCGCTGGTTCAAATCCGGCTCGAGGGAGTTTTTTTTTAATAATTTTTATTGGCTGCCGGCGAGCACGTGACCTCCCTGTGCTCGCGCATCCGTGACAGAGGCGGCCGATGACGGTCGTGACTATATATAGGGATTATATTATATTATTATTATTATTATTGTTATATATATATAGTCACGACCGTCTTTCCTCATCGGCCTCTGTCACGGATGCGCGCGCACAGGGAGGTCACGTGCTCGCCGGCAGCCAACGGGCGCGCGCCGCCGGCAGGGGGGGGGGGCATTACGTCATAGATTATAAACACAAGGTAATAAGGCTAAATAAAAAAATAGTGTGTGATAAGGCACAATTTGGATTATAGATTATAAACACAAGGTAATAAGACCTAATAAATAAATAGTGTGTGATAAGGCACAATTTGGATTATATTTAATACAGTTATCAGCGTCATGCACAATTCTGTCACGTTAAGTTACGTGTCAAGTTACGGTAAGTAGATATTTAAAAATTAAAAAAAGACCCGGGATCGAACCAGGGACCTTTAGATATTCAGTCTAACGCTCTCCTAACTGAGCTATTTCGGCTTATTTTATTTATTTCTATAGAAGCTTCTATCTTTATAAATATGTATATTTTCAAAAAGTCAATTCGCACCTCTTCGCTGAAGACAATGGGAATACTGACTAATTCATTATGCGAACATAATTATAAATACAAGTATCAGAGTCATCAACAATTCTGTCATCGTTTGCTTTTGTGAATGGAATAAATACCCAAATAGGGCCATTTCTTATAAGCATCGGTGGTTCAGTGGTAGAATGCTCGCCTGACACGCGGGCGGCTTGGGTTCGATTCCCGGCCGATGCATTTTTTTTTCTTTTTTACAATTTTTAAAACTCATTTATATTATCATCCCTATATATATAGAAGTCAGCGTATGTATGTATGTATGTATGTATGTCAACTATACACGTCCACAATACGTAACTAATATGAATGATATTTTAACAGTATATAAAGTAGAATCTAGAAAAACTCTTAGTGAAAATTTCAGGTCTCTATCCCGAATATCCGTCGTGTTATTTGCAAATTTGCTCTTTCGCTCGCGCCTCTAGCGGTGAAAATGAGGGGTAATACCAGCTGACCTAATGTACATGTAAAGTTTGGAGCGGGACGTTTCACAAGAGTGACATCCACGGCTCCAATTTATAATTGTAACGAATAGTATTTGAATAAAACATTTAATCGGGTAAAAGCCGGGCGTTGCCCGGGTCATTCGGCTAGTATATAATATAGTTCATGATATTATATTATTGTCTATTCATATGATTATTCATTTGGGAACGTAAATTTATTTAATATTTTATCTTCATATAAAAGTATAAAGAAAATATGCATGATAAAATTTGAAACAGTTCACATAATACTAATCTATAACTTTTTTCTTTGTGGGAATATGGTGGTCTTTTACTAAAAGGATAACGTTCTTTTTAAAAATTGAATAGAACATTACATTTATGTCAATCTTTTCTGTATAAAGGACACTGTAAGTGATAGAACGTGGGCTACGGCATAAGTATTGGTATACATTTTTATCACCAACAGTACTTTGTGTACTAAGTGATAAGCTAAATTGCTTTAATGCATTTTTAAAGAGAGATGCCTCTTTTGATAAAGATAAAATCAGTTTTTTAGACAAATCACGATGGACTCTAAAGAAATTTAAGCATATATAGAGGTATACTTTTAAAACCATTGCACAATCCATAAGATTCACTCTTCAAAAAAAAAATAATAATAATAAAAACGAAATTTCTAGATCAAAGGCGAGTTTTTATTGCTTATATTTCGACGATGAGTGAATTCGATATTTTCGAAATATTCTGAAATGTAGAGAAATTCAATCTATTTATATACAAAAAAGGTTGATAATAATAAAAGTATCATACAGTAGATACAGACTATATGAAAATATATTTATTCAATATAGATAGATTTATATTCTATCTTCCAAAGAAGAATAAAATGAAATAGATACAATAATATTTTTTAGAAACTTTGATATGAAAATATATATAATAATATGAAAAATATAAAGTGTTATATAATTTATATGAATATAATAAAGATATTTAAATATATTCAAACACAATCAATTTCACAATATATATACATAACATGTTGAAATTATTAATCAAATTTTATATTGATAATAAAATAATTTAATAAAAGCGCTTGATTATTTCATCTTAAAAAATATTAATAAAATATTTATTAATTAAAAATATTTTTTATCGTTTGAAATTTATTCTCTGCAAGATGGTTGTCTGAAGGAATATGGAAAAAAGTTTCCTGGCGGGAAACTGATAAGGCAGTAGCATACCTTAGATAGGAAGGTCTCAGTTTTTTGGTAATTCTCTTTTTTCAGGAAAACACCGCTTCTTTTTCGCCAACTTTTGTATTTTCCCGTGATCCTGAGGTGTAAAATCTATCTTTCAGATATTATCAATTTTACAAATTTCACTTTCTATTTTAAAAAATAAAATACACTTTTTATAAGTTTATATATCACAATGTAATTATATCTTTCTTTCAACATAAATCAATTCAAGATATAGATAAAATTAATAAATATTTAATAAAATACGTTCTAATATATGAAAAATCAGATAATTAGAAAATATTTATTACAAAGTAGCCTATAAACTAAAGGTTGGTCTGATAGTATTTCTTCAATTTTTATCCATTTCAATATTGTAACATAGTATTTATTAATTTTATTTATGTAACATAGTATTTCTCAATTTTAATATTTTTTATTTAACAGAGTGGTCATTTTTATGTTTTATATCTTGCGACTCTGTAAATTTCCCTCGTGGCTTATCTTTTGTTTACCTTTGATAGTTTGTCCTTCCCTGCAATAAATTTTGCTTCCTCCTGAAGTTTTTGTCTTCCCTAATTTTCCACGTGGCATTTTGGTGGAGATGCTGGGTAAGTTAGGGAAGACAAACTGAAGATCGCCGAGAAGACCTTGAAGCCATGGGTGCTGTGATCTACATTTTCGGAGACTGACATCAGGATTCCACCGCCGTGCTAAAGCCAAGACTTCCCTCGAAGATGACGATGTCCCTATAGACGATACGACGACAAAGCCGCTCTTCACGCCGCAAGAAAATGGACGCAAAGGTACTAGGGACAAAGTTCCAAGACTTCTATGGAATCCTTGGCAGAAGCACGTCAAATCCACGTCAGTATCTACAATAATTGCTAGCTGTGGGTCACAGCTCCCATAGGGAAGAAGCTATGTAACATAGTATTTATTAATTTTATTTATGTAACATAGTATTTCTCAATTTTAATATTTTTTATTTAACAGAGTGGTCATTTTTATGTTTTATATCTTGCGACTCTGTAAATTTCCCTCGTGGCTTATCTTTTGTTTACCTTTGATAGTTTGTCCTTCCCTGCAATAAATTTTGCTTCCTCCTGAAGTTTTTGTCTTCCCTAATTTTCCACGTGGCAATATTAATATTTGTATCAAATATTCTAATTGTATGTATCAAAGTAGTATCGTTGAAGTTTAGTTACAATTTATTTTATAGAAGTCCTTATAAGTTGAAATTTAGGATATTTCACATGTTATATAATAGGCTTATTTTTGATTTTTCGGAGAAGGTTTTTTCTCGATAAAATTAAATCTTTACTTCAAGTATATATGTCTACAGTCCTAGAAGTATATTTCCAAAGTTAACTTAAACACATATTTACTGTAATATCAACAAATGAAGGATTTATATGAAAAATATAATCAGTCTATTATAATAGTAAAGCGGTTTTGAGATACAATTGACAAAACCGATGGGAGTTTTACTATTGATGAGCTATTGCACTTTTTTCCTCAATAATTTTCCATTGCAGTAAAAGGTTTGTATAGCTTTCTCTTTTAAGTATATATTTTATATAAAGGTATTATTCAAAATAATATTTTATTTTAAATATATTTTATAGAATCAAATATTCTGTTAAGTCGACCGCCAGAGGTCGCGCTTTCTGTTTATATAACCCGTTGTTGTTGTTTCCCAATGGCCGACTCAAGTACTTTCGTAAATTATGCAAATTATTCTTACGCCTTAAGCCAGACAGTACTTTATCAAATCCTGCTTTTTATATATTATTTTAGCTCAATTAAAGCAATTACTGATCAAAACTATTTTTATATTTTCAAGAATATCTGCGACTGCATACTAAAAACAACAGAAATCTTATTTTTTATAACATATATATATAAATTTAATTAAAATGGCATATATTGGATCAATATATATATATATATATATATGCCATCTAAAAAGCACATGTGCTCGTGGTCAGGAGATGCCTTTTCTTTATTTTTAATATATATATATTATAAAATATATTTTCAAATTAGTACTGATTTTATTCGATAGAGGGCGATAATTTGTTAATGAAATTAAGGATCTATTATATGATGGACAAATGTCTTTCATTGCTCTACAGTAATTCATACAAATATAATTACATGCCTTATGAATTGCTATGAACTATGTAATTCTAGTCAATTCTCACAGGGCACATATCCATGAAATATTCATGGGGATGTTCTAATCCACATACACATTGCTCTCTGTCTATTTATTAAACAGATTTTCAATTACCAAACGCTCTACACAACGACCTAATTAGATCGTTTAAACATTCATCATATATATTGAATTCAAACTATTCTATTTGCATATTCCTTTCCTAAATTCTGATTCCAATATGCGTATTCGCGATATTATAGCCTAAAAAGAGAAGTAAAATAGAAGTGTTCATTTAGAATTAATCTATTTTTATTATAAGCAAATTATAAAATGATATATATTTGCATTATTATTTACCATCATAGACAAAACTTTAAAAAGTGGAAAGTCTAATACTGCAGGCTATCTTTTTTTTTTAAAGAGATATTGGCAATTTTATTCACACTTGGTTATATTCGTGTTCCCTCAATATAGGTTACTGTGTATCGAATATCAGAATTATTGACTGATTACGAAAAACACGATAAAAATATACAACTTCCTTACATCTTATAGTTCTTCTAACTTAATATTTCTCCACTATAACAAAAGGTGTATATAAATATGGAGAGATATAATATAAAAACAAAAAAAAAAAACGATTGTTATTAAATAAATAATAGTTTGAGAATGAGATATTCTGCACTAAATATTTTATAAATTGTTTTTCTCAACAATTTAATAAGATAACTCTATACACAGTTCTATCTACTGTTTTCAAATGTATTTTATTTTTCGATGTTTCTGTGACTTTTGGCACCTTGCTCAGGGGAATTAGAAATTACAGTGAGTCGTTGAAGATTTTAAAAAGACAATTTAAGAACAATTTTGATTCAACTATATATAAATTCTTTTCAACAAATAATTATTACAAAAACAAACATAATTTATCAAATTTCAATTTGTTGAAACATGTGTGCTATTATGCCACAAAATGATTGTAAAATTGATTGAAAGGGAATCAAATATACCAGTTTTGTAAATATCAGAAAGAGAATAAGTAA